CTGCTTTACAGAGGCAATTCTTCCACCGGTAGTTGGAGCACTAGAAGTCAAACACATTCCACTATCTGTGTGCCAATTACACACTGCATTCAAGGCAGCACGTATTTTACAGCAGGTTAATTAGCACTGGGTCACATTTTTCAAACAAATAGGGAAAGGCCCTGAAAAATGCAGTTCTGGGAACATGAAGCTATTCACAAATTATAGTAGAGTTCAGCAAGTGGTTTCTGTTGAAACACAGCGACTCTGTGTCTGCCAGGTTAAATCAACATTAAAGAGTTTCATTACGAATGGCCCGATCTTTTCCATAACTCCCTGAATGTGAGCTATCAGGACTTTCATCAACTGTATCTACAAGCCCATATATTGTCTGGTCCTGGACGCAAACCTATAGCTAACTGCTCGGTGGCAGGGGAGGCTGAAAAACGCTGATGCTGTGTAGAAGCTCTTAGGGTATAGGCAGGATTTGTCTGAGGGCACCTGTTCATTTTGGAAAGCCAGTGGGATTGCTTACAGCTTGTTGGCACAAGGAGAAATACTCAGTAAGAACATCTTACACTTTCTTTACTTTCAGACTTTCCTGATCCAAACCTGGCACCTCTAGTGTGGCAACTGTTCGACGACAGAGAGTACAGCCTCGCAGAGTTGTTAGCAGAGGGACAGTTTTAGCCCACCTGTCCTGCCCTGAGTCCCATTAATCCTCTCTTCAGCCCATGAAACACTACACTGCACAGGATTAAGCCTGAAGATCCAGTTCCATGTGCAAAAGCACTCCAGTAAGAGGAGAATTATTGCTTCTATAATTATTGTGGCCAATGAGTCAGAGTCCAGACCACGGACGCACTGCCACACCTCTGAAGCCTACAGCAACCTACACACCAGCTCAGAGTTTGGCCATTCAGCCCTGTTAACCTAGCAGACACAAACTGTAGAGAGCACCTACCCTGAAGCATTTTGTTCCCAAAAGGATGAGGTTCAGGAAGTTTGTTAAGAGAAGCAACTTTTGTCATAATAGGTGCTTACCACACAATAATCCCTCCTCTCTGATCAGCCTGCGAGACATGAGGAACGAGTCTCTGTCGTTGCATTTGTACCACTGATCAACCACCTGAAGTAAAAGCAAGAAGGTTGGTTCCTGGTGGTGTTATTTCAGGCTGTCCCAACCACCTGAGGCATGCTGTGGTGCTGATGCCTACAACGTCTGGCAGCCCTGAGCTGCTTTCCACACTTGTTGAAAGCAAACACATTTGTCAGGGCATCCTTGGTCCAGAGGGTGTGTCCTTGCTTGCAGGCATCCACTCCAGCCTTTCCAGCCAGCACCCTTTCCTTAGAGAGCTAAGGATGTCTGAGAAGTGCAGAGTCAGGACGCAGAGGAGGCAGTAGTGTTCTTGATGTCCTGGGTTGGGCTACAGTACGCTAATGGTCCAGATTTTACCAGGCAAAATCAGATCCAACTAGAAAAGAGTTTTGGGTTATTACAGGTCACAGCTCTAAAGCCATGTGCAGACAGCAGAGATGTAGTTAACACAACACCTGAAAACAGAAAGAATCGGGGGTCTGAGGTTGTGGGGGACCTTTCTAAGGACAAGGCCAGAGGAGCACAGGCACCTTGAGTTAGGGCTTTAAAGCTCTGTGCCTGGTGGCAACTGATAGGCCGAGAAGAAATCTGACAAGAAGCTGTATGAGGTTCATGATCCGTTGTCTTACATGAGTTAGATCTTGTCTTCCAGCCCACAAATGGTGCAAGGTTTCTGCTGTGTGCATGCGGTGCCTACGACAGCGAAGGCTCAGGAAATGCTACAGCAGCCTCAGAACTGATCTCTTCTGCATGTTCATAGTACGAGGCACGCTCTGAACATTGGTGAGGCTTAGTTGAGCAGGCTGGTACCATGGCATATTCCTTGTTTGCCCCTGTATTTGGCTTCTCCTTGTAGGTCAGTTACAATCATATTTACTCAGAGAGATGCTTTAGTGCTGGGGACCCAATCTCCCCCCAAACATCTGGTTCTGCACTGGGAAGGTACACAAGTAGCCTTAGGGCTGGACCACAGCCAGGTGCCAGAGCTGGCTATCTGTGAACTTGGGAGTAGGCTGGATGCAAAGCCAAAGATCCGACAGAGGCCTCTCATCACGTGGCTACTTACTGATCTGTCAAGGACAGTAGGAATGAAGTCATGCCCAATGCCTTCCACCTCGATGGTTGTGGTGGTCGTCCTGTTCATCTCACTGGGCAGAGCGACGATGGAGCCATCTGGATCTACACCAATGATCTTTGAGGAAAGGAAGTTTTGTTAAACCACAAAGGGACTTCAGAAATTGTCAAACACACAACTCAAAGGAAAAATTACCCATGCCCTTATCAGCAACATTTTCCTTTCCATGATGTTCTTTAATATTCCTATCCACTGGCAGCATGGGGAGCTTCCAGGACAGAAAGGTACTGTTTCCCACTGTCTTTTTAAATAGATCCTAGGTAGTATTCAGCTGCTGCAGAAGTGACTAGCAGCTTAAAACGCTATCACTCTCAAGGTGTTTGTCATCACCCTTCTGGCAGAGCCTGCTACTTCCAAAACTCAACCCTTAGGATAGTGTGAGTGCTCCTTAATCTGCTCCAGTTCAAAGCCAGCTAGTTATCTCAAACCTATGGAAACCCATGGATACAGACAGCCTTTCTGGATCTAGTCGTTCTGGCTGATAGTGGCACCTCCCTGGTTGCTTAAGGCTTTATGTCTGGGCTGAGGTTGCCTCCCTCAGCACTCAGCTTAAGAAGGGATGGTGACACTGCTCCACATGCAGCTTCAAGCAGTCAGTGAATTTATCTCATGTCTGGGTTACCCAGTGGCTGAGTCCACATCATCTCAATTTACCATTGGTGCATCAGGGATCGCTCGCACACCAGCTACGCGGGGGAGGCTGTGACCATCAAACTTCCAGTCTGCCTCGAAGCACAAGCTCTGCAGAATGAGCATCTATGACTAGTGTCAAGCATACAGCACAGAGACTTTTGCAGTGGCAGATGAGAAGCACATGCACAATCTGTGCCCTCCATGGAAGTGCCAGGGCAGAATCTTTCAGCAGCTGGGATAACCAGGAGCAGTAATGCTATCCACTGGTCCAGCCACTTCTGTGGGGAACCTCTGGCTGTGTCCTGCAAAGGGCAGGGCATGATGCGATTAGTAATGGGGCAGTGGAGCCTTTGACTTCTCAGGCACTCGGATGGAGCTAGCCCAACCTGAGCCTAACACTAAATTGTTTCCAACAAAAGCCAAGCTCTCTGTGAAAAATCAAATATGTGGAGACAACAGCTGCTAGCTGAGGTGAGCCGTGGGGTTAGGCTTGATCAAAAGCATAAGCAGAAATATCCAAGGAGGCCACGACTCCCAGCTGGCAGCCCTGTCTCCCAGCTTACCTTGCATTCCGGGCACTTTTCCTTCAGCTTCCTGGCGACGCCAGTGACGGTGCCTCCTGTGCCAGACCCAATCACCACCATGTGGATCTTACCTGCAGGTCAAAGAAGAGAAGGGTTTGCAGGGACTCAGCATGGCTTCCAGCATGGCCTCCCCTTTATTCAGGGCCTTGGGCAGATGCAGAGCTCATGTCCCTCGGCTTCTAAAAGCTCTTGTGTGGGAACAATAGGCAGAGGTCATGCTAGTGGCCAAAGTGTGGTCCTGCGGGCAAGCTCAGATGAGTTTGCAGGATCTGAGCACAGTTGATCCTGCCTCAGTGCAGGGGGCTGAAAGTGACCTCGAGATCACCCACTGGTCTCCATGATTTCTGCATCTTGGCGTCTACTGATTTAAGGGAGAGAGTATCTCAGCACTTCCAGCCCTTTCAAACCGCACTACATTGAAGCAAAGCACACACATGAATAACAGCACGTACCAATAACAGGCACAACTTTTCAGCTAGTGTTAGCATCCACAGTGGAGAGACGGCAGAGCTCTGCCGTGGCACCCATGTTGGTCAGATGTAGCCCCGCTGGCATCAGTGAAATTATATTGATTTAGGACTGGTAGGAGCAGAATCAGAGTCAGACCTTCAGAGCCTTATGGTGCAATTGCATTGGGAAAAGGGGACTTATAATTCACTGCTGGCAGCCAGCAGGAGCAAATCTAAACGTTGTAGTGGAGGGAAGGCTGGGACTTTCTTGTTACTGTTGCTACCCTACTGCTTTACTACTATGATAAATGCTCTCCAGTTAAAACCCTTGAGTCCTTTTTACATTTTGCAGTGCTCCCAGTACTGGCAATAAATTTCACTTCTATCCGCACATGGACTCAGACATGGACTGAGATAGTCCTTTATCCTCCCCCAGCCATCACATCAAAAGTCATTAGTCTGTGAAGTTTCGGTCTATTTTGATTTGCAAATGAGTGTGCTGGATCAGACACAGCCTGCCATGCCCTGATGGGTTTATATTGCCCAATGGGGCCTCTTGGGCCATCTTGTGTTCCTAGCTGACAGGTCACAGAGATGTTGTAGCCACCAAGAGACAGGTTCTTCCTCCTTGGGTACAGCCTGGATTTGCTAAGGTTCTGTTCTCCTCCCTTAGGCTTTTGAAATGGGAGGCCATAGCAGGGAAGCCCTGCAGGCTCAGGTGGGTCTGCAGTGGATTATAAAAAGTTACTGCACTCTGTGTGTCAGTATTATAAAAGGGTGCCTTCACCTACAGAGGCCCTTTTGGTCATTTCTAGACATTTAGGTCAATAAATTATGTAAGATGAACCTCTCAGAAAGAGCTATAGCCCTCTGCACATTCTCAGCACGTAGAAACAATAGGGCAGACAGTACCTTCACATTGCTCCAGGATCTCCTCAGCTGTGGTGTCGTAATGAGCCAGGGGGTTGCTTGGATTTCGGTACTGTTTATTTCAACAGAGAACAGCTTGAGCTACTGTGTGAAGCATAGGTCAAATACCAAACTAGCAATAGCTCCTGACAAGCTTTACCCAAAGCATGCAACTGACCCCTCCACTCCTTGGTGAGGACTGGACTGCAACCCAGCCAGGCTAGGTCATGGGTATTCCTCCTGGTTGTCACTTTGGGATAGATTTCCAAGGACACTTGGGATTTGTCCTCACCGGAAGATTAAACAGGCCCACACTCACTCACTCTCTGGCACTCGGTGCCCATTTGGTGTGGGGATAGTGTGGCTGTCCCAAATGCTGCATTGCCAGATTTTGTGGGATCTGATGGTTTTGTTGAAGCTCTAGCTGTCAGAGGGAAGAGACCTCCCTGGTATTTTAGCTATTGCTTAGACAGAACCATTTTAGCCTTTTCTGTTGCCTTGAAAAAGTTGAAAACACAGCCCCACAATACTCCTAAAAAGCTCAGAAAAAAAAAAATCCCTCCTCAAAAGCCATATTGGAAAAATTTTTCAAGAATCGTATCTATATAATTTTGAGAGCTGCTTTGTCATTTAAGAGCATCTGTGGTCAGCAGTGCAGCAAGGTAGGTGGCTGGGAACTGTGGGCCAGAGCAGCTGTCCTACCTGTACAGAGGGATTTACCACAGGAGGTATGCAGGTACAGCACTGAAATGTGTGCAGCCCCATGTTCACACCCATAGACAGGGCTGCTTCTGAAAAGCGTGTTCAGACACAGAGCTCCCTTTTTCTTAAAAGGAAAGAGCTTCTCTGACTTTTCTGCATTATAGAGACTCCCTACTCGCTATTGGGATGCCTTCCCGCAGCAGAGTCAGATCGGAGGGAGAAGTGCCCTCCTGTACAGGATCCAGTGCTGCAGGAACCACTGCTGTGAATCATCAGTGTTTGCCCTTTACAGCATGAGGCTTTTTATTGAGACAGAAGAGAGGCTACTGGCCAGGCAGAAAAAGTGATTTTTTTTCAGGTCAAAGTTAAATCTGAAGCCATTTGAGGAGTCTTTGAAGTGTGCAAGAAAACCCAGCCTCGCCCACATCCAGGCTTTGGCAGAAGTATTACAGCTTTGGAAGCACCCCTTATTGTGTTTCTGCCATCTCATGCTTTATGGAGGAGTGATTAGGTTTCAAATGCCGTACAACACTGACGAAGTCTGCCTCTGTTGCCAGTTTGAACAAAGCCCCCAAACATGGGCACACTTGGAACACACGCTATAAACCGCATTTGGAAAGAGAGTCAGTGGAGGAATGGTGTTTACCTGGTCCAGGATGTGAGAGTTTGGGATTTCACTCTTCAGCTTCCAGGCAACACGAATGTTAGACTCCAAGGCGTCAAAGCGAGTGCACGGGGTCCTCACAATTTGAACACCCAGCGCCTTCAGAATATCGACCTTTAGGAGGGAAGAGAGTAGATGTAACACAACTGATCCCACGTAGCGATGGTAACCTGAACCTTCAGGCTCATGGCAGCGTCAGATGCCAGAGGAGCTTTGCATGTGGGAGACATTTAGCATTTGGAGATACAATGTCCGATTTTCAGTTATAGTATCTCTGACATCCTCCTGGCACCTAGGGCCTCTTGCCTGAAGCTGGCACACGGATTCAAGCCTGGCCTCGTGCCCTGTCCTACTCGGAGGACAGGCTGGGGACATTGCAGAGGTAGGTAACATTGTGTTGCTCCTTGGTGCCTGAGGAAAGGGGCAGGGGGAACCGGGGTAGGGAGCAGCATCTCCTAAGTGCTGTCGTCTGAGCTCCTGCATGGAAGGTGAATGTCTTAAAGCTGTCTTTGCCCCAAGTCCCTTCTCTTTCCTCACCAAGCATGGGGAAGGAGCAACTACCAATCAACCCTGGGGTATTAATCCATTGTGAGATGTGGCTGACATGGGGAGAGAGAGTCAAAAGAGAAGGGTGGGTGAGTATTGGGGTGCCTGGAAGTGAAGCCCATGGCAGCTGGAGGTGGCATCTGATTCAGACTGAACTTAAGTGAGATTTAGGTTGAAATGAGGGTGACGCTTTGGAGAAGGGCTCAGTTTTGAGCCAAGTCAGGGACCAGGTCTGGCTTCACTGGCATGAGTTCAGCTGAGAAGTTTGTGAGACTTTTGGCTCCCCAAGGCGGAGATTTCTGCCATCTCCAGGACAACAGTTTTACCTGATCATCAGCTGCCATGCAAGTGACTTGACTTCCACCATCTCAAGAAAGCAGCTCAGACAACCGTAAGTGTCTCCGGGTTAAAGAAAACCGTAGAGACACAGAGAGACGACCGAGTGGCACGTCAGGTGTCAGAGGGGAGGTTAGCATGACCAGCAGCTGAGCCCTGGCACCTGCCTGCCTCTCCTCCGCTCTGTCCAGCCCTCACCTTCACACACAGCAGATACTGCAGCCACACACCGAGTTTAGTTAACACGCTGCACCGCTGACGCCAGCTAATCAGCCAGGCCATTGCAGTGTGCTTTTTTTTCATCAACAGGAAATCTTCTGAATGACTACAAAGCTATGTCAGTGTGCGCAGCAAGGAGAGGACGCTCTGTCTCTAGACAGGGCGAGGCAGAGATTGACAGGGAAGGAGATGTTCTCCGGCTGTGGGGTAATACCGTACAGAGCTCTGACCTTCTCCATGCTTATTTTCTCCGGCAAGACAATGATGCAGCGGTAACCTTTCACTGCAGCTACCAGTGCCAGCCCGATTCCTAGATGGTGGGAAGGAAAGGGAATTGGTTGACAACAGCATTTAGTAAGGCCGACCGACGTGCATTGCTTCCTACGTTCCTCTCTCCTGCCAGTGAACGTAACATAGAAATGTTCAGTGATGAGCTACAGGTGAGGGCATCCTCCGGGAGCTTCTCGGGATGTGCCGGGAGTGCACAGAAGGATGCAGCAACAGGCGAGTCGAGCTGCAGCGTTCCTCTTGCTCGCAGGAGCCCATTAGCCTGGCACAGAGCGAACGACAAGGCCGGGGAGTGGGCTGGGGAGTGCTGGGAGTGCTTTCCTCCCCTCACCGCGGCTCAGGCCTCTTGTTTTGCTTTCCGAAACACAGGAGAGAGGTGATTGTGCTTCAGGAGTGCCTTCCCCTCCCCCTCAATCGCTGCCGGTCAGGCGAGAGCGGGGTGCGCACACGGAGCTGCACATGTCACCCCGCGGCAGGCGGGCGAGAGGGAAACTCTGCTCCAGTTTCACCGAGGGTGATGGACGGAGCCAGCTGCTCCCCGGCGAGAGGAGGGCGTCAGGCTGGAGCAG